GGTAATATTCAACTTCCAATAATCAATTCAACATTCACAACCTAATGTTCTATGGTTCATACCTCAAGGTGAAAAAGTTTACACTGTGTGTCAGTAATAAGCCAAAAGAAGTTCATAATTGAGACTGAACTGATCTATCGTTTGCATGGGGACGTGGAATATGAAGAATAACTATTTAGAAATCATAAAAATGTATATTTATGATATAAATAGAGAGATATATGAAATGAGAGGATCTTTTAGGTTAAGAGTTAAAAGTGAATTTTTAACTGTTAAATTTTATTAGCTTAAAAAGGGTTTGGTCTTTATGGTTTTTTATTTGGTTCTATTTTAAATTTTTTATATAAGTCTTTTCGAAATTAATTTTTTGTACAGTTTTTTTTACTAGTAGTTCGTTACCTTATTTTAGTATGTAGATATACAATATTCAACTTGACTTAAATAATAAAATATAAAATTGATGAAAATAATAATGTGACATTTTTATTTTCTTTATACAATCAATTTCAGAAGTCTTAAATTTATAAGGTAAAATTTTATTTAAAAATACGAAAGATATAATATTATTAAAGATACATTTCATTTATATAGATTTAACGTATTTATTGGATACATTTCCTCGTATATATCACTTAACAATGTTAGGTGTACTGAAGCAACATCAAATGGTTTGGGAAGTACTGTATGACATTGGTGACTGTAAGAACTTTAGTTGTTTCTATTTTGGGTTACTAACTTTTGTGAATATTTATCCAAACAAAGGACAGATATAAAAGGCTATGATATGAAATAAAACGAGGGTAAGATGTTTACACTGTAATAACTAATAAACCCTAACACTCCGTAACACGTGAACTGAGTCAGATACCCCACAAAGGGACTTAATTCTAAAGGGCGTGCCTTTTCATTCTTACAAATATTTTTTTAAAATTATATTAACAATAAAAAAAGTAAGAGACACGTAAATCCTTTTATTCCAAATTTAATATCTGCAGGTTCTTATTGGTTTCCTCACACTTTCCCATGATTTCAAGATGTTAACAACTCATCACAAATAACTTAAGAGCACAGTAAAAGAGTTTGAAGACCACGTATTCTATATAGTTTGGACTCTCTCTTTCTCTTTCTCTCGGGAGGCTTGAATGAACAGTAAGATACAGTAAATAAAGTACCAGAGACACAATGATGAAAGGCAAGGACTTGGGGGGGCATAGTTGTGATTTTGAGCATTTGTTTTCTACAGTATTCATGGGGTTGCGCAAGAACTTCTAAGTAACTGCATTGTAGGGGGAGTGGAAAGGACAGAGTTCATTTTGTATGTAATTTTCTTTTATTAATTATGAGAAGCAGCTTTTCATATATAGAGGAATTGTCCCTCCTAAATAAGAAAAATCACAACTATAAACTCACTAAATGTTTGTTTTCATTGTATGCTTCCGGTGCGAGACTGAGAGAGATAAAAAGAAAATAATAACAATAAATATGATACATAATATAATGTTGTCGATAAGTTTGAAAAAATACAAAAAAATAAAGATTAATTAGGTATGAATATAATTGTTTCTCGGAATAATAACATTTTCCCTTCCTCCTAGACAGTATTTTACATTGTTTTTTACAGTTCTATTATTTAAACAATTAAAAATTGACGGTGTATAATATTAAATACAAATGTTTTTAATTTTTTGGAAAATTTTTTCTCTCTCTATATATATATCTTAAATTAAAAATTATCCCCCAAAATCATAAAAAGAACAGTTATTTTTTAGTCAACAGTTTTGTTTTTCTTATTCTGTATTACCTGTGGACTGTGATCTGTTGATTACAGCAGTCCACGTGCGTAGACCCTTAATGTGCAGTTCTGAAGAAACAAAGGCCCAACGGTTCATGGCCATTCTGCCAACGTACCACACTACAGCCATGCTATTTTATTATTCTTGTAATGCAATAAAATCTGATACTGACCAATATCCCTTTGAGCACCCTATGATTTGTATAATATTGCCATAAAGGAAATGATGCTTGTTATGTGATTTATAAGGGCTATGTGTTTCCCTTTCTCATTCCTATTTCTTTGTACCACTGAAAGGACCCAATCAAAAGTCCTATACTGTAACAAAAGATTCACTATTCAGATTTGTTCCATCGCTCAAAAAATTGTTAAAGTATCTGAGAGTTGTAGTACTCAATGCTGAGGCAACTTAAAAAGAGGATTCTAAATACACTAGTAAAAGCAGGAAAAAGAAACAAAATCTTGGTAGGTCCAAAGCTAGTGATTCCAGGTGCATCAGGGAAACAATTAGATTACATTTTCACACAATATTTTGAGCCATTGATGTGACAGGTTGTTGTTATAAGGGAGGGGCACGGTGGTGGGTTTTACCACTTCCTAATGGAAAGTTTCATCAAATGCTCAGTGAATATGAATAGCAACAGAGATCAGGACAATGATCATAAAGAAAGTGTAGACCCTACTGCAATATTCCTATACGTTCCCTGACAAACAGGGAACCAACAGTAACCATTCCCATCATGCTCTTCAGATAAGACACCCCTTCAGGTGTTCACAGTTCCATGAGAAATTGTTTTACTACTATGCTTCAAGATAGCGCCCCCCCACCCCCTCTCCTCTCCTCTCCTCTCTCTCTCTCTCTCTCTCTCTCTACAATCTCATCTAACAGGTATAAACCCATTAATGCATGTTCAAGCTTGGCACCAACCTGTCAGTTACCCTTCTCAACTTCTGATCCAGATGCTTCTATGAACCGCATCGTCCTCAAATGATAAAATGATCCGATCGTGAATAAAATTATCCCTTGCCTGTTTGATTTGATGTTTAGCAAGATTATTTTAAACCATTAAATCTAACATCAATGTCTTAAGTTACATATACACATCGGAACACAATTTATTTTTTTTATATTAGAAAGTGCAATGATTAATTTTATAGTTTTTTTAAACAAACACAAGCTACATCAAGAGCCGAAACCAATTCTCGTCTGCTCTTCTTATAATAATAATAGATATAAGACCAGCCCACTATACAACCTCACAAAAGACCAATTTCTCATATCAATAAAAGTCATCCTAAGAAGCCCTTCCTGCCATGTGCTTTGTTGATAATTCAAAATAGAATCATGTTCACCACCTTCTGAAAATATTATAGTAAGGCAGAAGACAACATGTAAATATATTGAACTGCATAAACAGTTATATTTATACTAATCTATATCTCGATATTAGAATATAAAGGAAAAAATTTAATCTATATTATAATAGAATAAAACAGTTCAAGTACTAGGACAAGTGCCAATCATTTATGAGAATTTTGGTTTTATAAATTCAATTGAATAATTCTGCTGTGATTTCATTACAATTCAAAGGTGTTTCGATTGGAGAATGCTTTTAGCAGTTGCCGTTCAAAGAACGGGCACATGTTCTAGCTGGCTTAAATGTTTAGTACCTTCTGACCATGCAAACTTATTTTTATTGAAATTTCAATTACTCCAGGAGTTATTCTCCTCTGTTGTTTTTCATAGGAAAAATAAGACAGCTTAACAATTTAATAGCTACGTAATTATTTAAAAAAATTTAAATTTTATTATTATAATAAAAAGTATCAACAAAGCAAATTAATTATGATGCTTAGCCATTTGAGGTCAGCTAGATCAAATTCCATGGCATCATCCACATACAAATAGAATATTGGCTGAATCCGAAGTGCATCGGGTTAAATTGATTTAAAAAAAAAAAAGCAGAACGCTCTTTCAGCACAATTAACAGGCAAACTGAACCTCAAATAAGCAATTTACGGCAAGTGTAGCCTATAATCACTATTTTTCAATTCAAATTACCCCAAACACTAAACTAGCATCAGAGTATTTCAACCCAGTAATGTTTCCAGTTATACATTGAGGTACCACAGCACATTCCAATGGCCTAACAGATAACTTGCAATGAGGGTAGTTAATTCATTAATTTTGGTTTGGAAAACGATGAGAAGGAGAGGTAGTTACTCCTTTCCAAGGTTAAGCCATGTTACAATGCTCACAGCAAAAGCTTATAGTGAAATTCATCGATCACCTCCCAATGAAACTATCGACAGATTCGACACCAAGAATTCAAAATCTGTAGGCAGAAACTATTCTTGCACATTGGAATCAAGAACACCTAGTTCCTTTCACACAACTCTACTGACTCGGTCTATGTTTTAATAATGAGATAAAACGTGAGTCAGTATCAACATCATTTCACAGCTGCAGCAAAGAAACTCAAGTTTGATACATGTAGAACATAAACGACTGTGCATGTAACATCCACAGATTCTTAATAGGTATCACAAAAGCATACAAAAATGCCAGGAAACACTCACAAATATAATATAGCAGAATCCCAGTGGACGAAGATGCTGAAATTATGGTTTTGACTGACATTTTGAAGTTTAATAAGACTAAACCAAATTGCGCACACCTTGTGTAGAATTAACCCCTGTTATAACCCTAAAATTGTAAACATCAGTCCCCATAGTCCTTGACTTTATAAAATCCATACTTTGGTCCCCCAACAGTGTAGATTAGCATGAAGCGAAAAGGAATTAAAGTGAGAATTTTGTTAAGAACTAAGTGATCGACACTTAGAATTTTAGGAGACTAGAATGAGGTTTTACTCGGTAGATCTTTCAACCAAAAATTTTAGAAGAGATAATCAAAGTGCAACATTTAATCAAATTATTCGTGGGGCAATCATTCATATCACATACTGTCAGCGACCTTGTAGCCTGTAGGTACCTCTTTTCCCCCAAAGGTAGGGGTACAAGAAGGAATCCCGCTAATTGATTAACACTAAATGCCACGAGATTAATCGAAGTATATTCGTTTGATCTGACTCCTCGAGAAATTTCCTTCAAAGGATAAAGTAAATATCTATATCTACTGATTAGAAAATCAATGGTTTGGATTCTAGCAATTCCATCGTTTCACCATAATTTCAAATTTCAATAGTTCATCTTCCAATATCAATCATAACTGTACTTTACTCTCTAAAGTGCATGCGGGCCAAATCCTTATATTTCACAACCAAATTCTTGCGTTGTTTGAATCACAAGCAGCCTTTTCTCTAACATAACCTAACCTATATGCACACACATTCATTCACCAACCACTATAATTCAGCAAAACAATGTCACTTCCACTAATAGCTCACAAAATCAACAACAACAACTACTATTACAGTTGCTGTCCTCCCTCAAGTGTTCGTAACCGTAATTCAACCAACCTAGCATTAAACCCGCCATCACTAACCTTCAACATATCTTCTAAAGGAAGTGACAAGCCATGCTGCACCAGCATCGTGTGCCTAGGTTTAATCCTCCTTTCCAAACTAAAAGAGAAATATTGAGGAAACCTCTTGAGCTCAGCAACGTCCCCATTCATCTCCTTCAAGAAAAACTCAACCTTAGGCACCAAATTATTAGCAACACTGAAAGTCAACAACCCAGGGGACCTCACAACCATGTTGCACACCTCATCATGAGTGAACCCTAAACTCTTCAAAAACTCAATCTTGGGCAAAAGGGTGTCCTCAACGCTAGAAACCAGAAGCAGGGTGGTCTGGCACGTGAGAGAGTGGGGCCCAACGAACCCTAATTCCCTCAGAAAACACAGAGCGGGTCTCAATTGGTGGTCAACGTCGGAAACCAGCAACCTGGGGCATCGCAAGATCGATTTTTGAACGTGAGGGAAAGGGATTCGAACCTCGTGGAGGAGGAAATCGAGGAGGGGATAAAATTGGGAATAAGGGTCGCACGTGAGAAGCACGGGATACATGTCGAGGATTCGACCCATGGCGGAGCGGTCAATTCCCATTGAGTAGAGGCATTGTTCCACCAATTTTAGGGTTGAGAGACGAGAGGATCGGAGGGTGGGGTTTTCTTGAAATGCTTTTTCGGGGTTAACGTTGAGTTTTCTGAGGTAGAGAACCTTTTCCCGGAAAATTAGGCCTCGGTCGGAGGTGGCGGTGTTTGGTTGCCGAGAAAATTGGGCGGTGATTATGAGATTGAGATTAGGGTTTTTGAAGGGTTTTGGGATTGGGGTTTGAGGGAAGAAGAAGTGTGGGGAGAGTTCGAGTATCATCGGCATGTCGTATACGACGACGACGTTAATGACTTGGCTGAAGCGATGTATTTTATTGTTAGGATATCTAAACTGCAGGTCGTTTTGGACTTGTCCCAGTTCAGCATTTCTGGGCTTGTTTTTAGTGTCCTTATTTGGGCTGGAGTTTTCTGCTTAGCCTCAAGTTCACTGGGTTGAAATTTGAACCCTAAATAGCCCGGAGAATCAAAATGATAAAAACAATTGAAATCTGGTTATACCTGAAGAGTGAAATGTGTTTCTTCAAAAGGGATTTTTTTTTTTGGAAAAAGTTAATTTATTAAAAGCTTCAATATTTTTTTAGATAATCTTATAAGTTTCTTTAAACTACTCACATTCTAAGTTATTGTTAAATTATCTTATTTAAAATGATCTTATAAACATGCTTTTGTAAAAGATTTCACATTGGAGATCTTTTGGGTTAATTGGTTTCTTTCTTTCTCTTTTGTGTTAGCTGTTTCTAACTTATCAAATTGGTTTCTTTCTTCTTAGAGATAAAGAGGGCTACAAAAACTCTTCTTTCGGGAGTTTATCTTGGCTCTAGTAATAGAAAAAGCATTTCAATTTCAGAGAAAAAAAAGTGTTTTTTTAATGACTTGAGCAATACTACTACTGTGAGACAACAACTTCAGTACCTATAAAGCAATCTTAATTTACTAAATGAAACGAAGCTCCAATAAACTACATTGATAAAATCAAGTGAAAACCATGTAAATGGAAGTTTTGAAGCACCTAGACTTGGGTGTAACTCTAACTAGAGTGGATGGACTTCCACATCAATATCAAGGCCTTGTGCTATATTTGATGACCATTTGTATGGCCTAGCAACTTTTTCTCAAGTGCACTTTGGTTACACATAGTAACACCTTTCTACATTTTTTTCATTTATTTTTTACAATCTTTGGACATGTCTACCTTTTGAATTGTCGCTTTTGCTTGCTTTATTATAATTATATGTAATCTACAAGAGAGACAAATTTAATGTCCACCATGACCAACCGTATAGTGGTTCATTGTTTTAGTCTACAATTTAAAAGAAAAAAAAAATGGTAAGCAACATATTTTTCTGTTAGGATAAATAAATATAAAAAGTACATTTTTATTGTTACATTCTTTTATTAATAGTTAAAATTTTGATGACTCAAAAAATTATGTGTAAGATTTATTGTTTGAATTTTGTCAGTAATACTCACATAATTTCGTAAGTTGTAGTAACTTTGACCGAATAATAAAAATGTGTCAAAAAATTACATGAAAAGCATGTTAAATATATGATTTTGTCCATCAACAAAAAAATGTACAGAAAAATAATGTCAATTAGGTTTTTTTTTTTTTTAATATAAGTTATTTGTATTGTTTTTTCATTTTCAGTCACTAAAACATATTAGGAATTGTTTTAGACATTCTTCATTCATTGACTATGTGAATTGACATAAATTTCTATATTTCAATTTTTATAACAGTTAAGGTTAGCTCTTTAAAGACAAATACTTATAATTAATTATACTAATAGGTAATTTTTACAATATTGTGTTAGTTAAATATTTCTTGAGGACAAACGTGACATAAAATATTTTTAGTAAAGTTTTGTTTAGAGTTATATTTAGAAGAAAAAAAGAGGGGTTAGTAGAGTTTAATTTTTATTTGTGAGTTAATTAATTTAAAGGAGGAGAGTTAGGAGATTTTTTTTAAGGGTTTTGTTAATATCAGTCTAAGCATCCACAAATATAAAATTTTTATAAAAAAGATACTCAGTTATTATATTGAAGTTATAAAAATACAATAAATATTTTTCTCTTATCTTCAGTCCTAAGAGTTGAGATTAACAAAACTCTTTTTTCAAATTCAAAAGTTTTTTAAACTTATTTTTATAAATTCCTTACTTTTGAAATTTTTAAAATAACTAATTTACTCTTAATTTGTTTCTCAATTCTTTCGCATGATTAAGGTGTATCTCTCTCATTCTTTCTGCTCTACGCTTTCTACTCTTGGCTCTCCACTCTCACTTCACTTTTTGCTCTTTGTTCTTGCTCTGGTTTTGATTTGCAAATTATCTTTGATTCATTTTTCACTGCAGTGGTAATTATTTTTTATTAAAAAAAAGTTGTGTAAATTTAGCTTTGTATCAAATAGTGTGTTTGTGATGAACTAATGATTGATCCAAAAAAAAACATAAAAAACAAACATTTCAAAACTATGCTTATTTGAGTTATTTTAAATGTAAATATTAAACAAAAGTTTAATTCCTATTCTCTTTCCTCTCTTTTCCTTTATTTCTTCTTCAAATTATTTTCTTCCTCTTCAAACTTTTAAATAAAGTCTATGTGTTTTAGATTCTTCAAAGTTTATTTTATTAATTGAAAACATATTTAATAAAAATAATCATGTTTACTAAATAGTTAAAATGGATAGTTGTTAACAATTTTTGAAATGATATTCTGGACCGTATATCTTGTTCTTAGTTACTAGCTGAACGCAGTTTTCTAATTTTTATCCTTGATATTCTTTTGTAGTCCTTCTTTTATTCAGTTAATTTTAGTGATATAATGTTTCTTTTTATATAATGTTCAATGACTAAAATATCGTTACTCGTAAAAAAAGTATAAAGAAAAATACTTTTTTCATAATAATTTTAGTCAACAAAATCATCAAATCTCAATTATTTATAATTTGAAAATATAAAAAAAATTAACTATATTTATATTATTTTATTTGATAAAAATTTTAAATGAGAATAAAATTAAAAAAATATTATCGTAATTTTTGAGATGACAAATAACTAGGATAGTAGTTTTTGTTAAATGTTTGCTGTAACCTTGCGTCTCTTGATTTAATTTTGTAAATGCAACTGAGGCGTCATATAATTATCGATTTACATATAAATTTTATATCTTTTGGGATATAATTGAAATATGAAACATACGTTTTTGTTTTGGTGGTCCACAAATATGAAACATACGTTAAAATAGGCTTTTTGTGGAAGATTAAAGTGGGCCTTGGAGTTTATTTTACCCCATACTATACTTGGGCTTTTAATTTATAGTCTTGTTATGCTGAACATGGACTGATTCTACCAGAAATTAAACAAAAGTTTTTGCAAACTCAATAGCAATAACCGAGTGTCTTTACTAATTAATCCTTTTCGGTAATTTTGTTTTTAGTTTTAGATTTCAAAAGTTATGATTAAAGTTACATTATTTAGGTTTAATGCTTCATGCTTCTTGGCCTTAAGGTAACAGATTATATCAACATTTTTTATTTTATTTTACTCTAATGCTTTAAGGTAATTTTACTTAACGACTATAATTTGCATGACATATATATACTTATAAGCTACTTATCATTTTAACCGTTCAAAGAGTCCAAAAGTCATCAGCAAAAAGGAAAAAAAAATAGAGATAATTAAAAAGTCCATACAAACATACACATAAACTAATGACCTTATCTTGGGATTTTGTGGTTTCAACAAATAGATATATAATATTTAAAACCGTCATTAACAGCTAATAATATCTACAATTAGTTCTGACACACATTAAATAATAGCTGCCTTAGTTGCCAGTTTACCTGTTCAAGGAGTTTAAAAGTCCATCCAAACATTTGCATCATTTATTGACCTTATCTTATAATTATGTAGTTTCGGAAATTAGATATAATATTTACAACGATCAGTAATGTTATATGGGTTTGTTAATTGCTACTTTTAAATATTTTATCATAAAGTTTGAAGTATTTTTATATAAATTACTTTATTATAAGTGTATTATTAGCAATGAATTTTAAATTAGAATGAAAATAAATATACGAGAGTAACACTAAGCACTCTCGTGTTATATGTATTAAAAATATAATTATGTTTAGTTGTAAATGAGCAAACATATATTTTTTAACTTTGAACAAGGCTGGACATGAATTCAACATCTCCTACAATCATTCAAGACACCAATAGTAATTTAATTTAGACTTAAGAGTACGTTTAAAAATAATATAATTTAATTAAGTATTTGTCGAGTAAACCTTTTTTAAGCGTTTATGCCATACATAATTTAATATCATTTATATTATTATTATGAGTCATTATTCTTAAAAAGTGATATATAATTCATTGAACAAAAATTATAAACATTTTACAGAACAGTTGTTCGCAGTTTAATTTTACATTTTTTTTTCACGAAACCACTATTTAAATAATTTCTATCATTTGATATTTTCGAAACTTAAAATGTTTTTAACCTTTATATTTTTATTGTTAATAAAATATACTTTTATCAATTAAGATCATCTGACCTTTCTTAATTTATATATCCTTTTATTTTCGTACGCGGAACAAAATATTTAGCAGAATAAATTAAAGATATGAAGAGATAGTACTAGTAAATGACTTAAACTTTCCATTACATGCAGAAATAGGAAAATTTACACTTTTTGAGTACAGCCAAAGACACACTCATCTGAGGCTGCTCACAACGGATTAGTAAGCAAACAATGCTTCTAATCTAACAATCCCAATAATGAGACCAAAAATATAAAAACAAAAACTATTCCAATACTAATGGCGGGTAGTACAACAGTCCACCTCTTCCAATTTAGTAGGTTACAAAATAAAATATATAAAAAAGTCCATCTCTGCTAGCTTTTAGCCGCAGAAGGAAGAAAAAGCTTCCAAAAATGGAAAAAAATAAAAAAAGATCCCAATCAAGAAGACCCTAAGAATCATTAGGAACCCCCTTCAACACAATCAAAATGATGAAGAGCCAGTTTAAAATTAGCCCTTCCCATTTTCTGATCCCAAGAATGCCCATTGACCCCACCCCACCAAGTAGCATACTATCTAATACCCTAGTATACTATTGAGTCATACTAATTCTTAAATTGAGAAATCATAACATACTATATATTATATAGTATATCACATCATATATATGTAAATAATTGGAACTTGGGTATTATGGTCTCTAGCGGAATTGGGCACCAGTGTATGTTTGGCCAAAAGACCATCCAGCTGGAGCAACATTATAGGAGACCACAGTACGACCATCACTAGTGGTAACCTTGAAGGAGAGGCTTTGGCCATTAAGATAGTTGTTGCTTTGCCAATTCTGACCCCAGTTCCTTGACATTGGCATCCACCCAGTTCTTGACCCTTTGATGGCCACTCCATGCACATCACCAGCACCACCCACGTTTGTTACGAGGACTAGGTTGAAGTAGGAATGACCATTGATTGTGAACCTTATGCCTCCCCTTCTCCTGCAGGCCACCCTACACAAAGCCACACAAACTAGTATAAATAATGCTACATATATAAGGGATTTTATGTATAAAAAGCTACCATTTTGTTATATTTTTAGGTAATAGGTGGAGTCAAATTTGCTTCTTAAACCCATTTAACTTAAACCCCCCCCCCCCAACATGTAACTTTTCTATTTAAAAATTTGATCCATACAAAATTTCATTGTGGAGTAATTTTTGAAACAGTATTTTTAAAGTAAACTTAATTTTATAAAATTAAAACTCCTTATTGAATACACAACTACCCTTAACCCTACTTGGCCAAAAACAGTAATTTTACTGTACATTTACCAACGCTAAGAAGAAAGTAGTTATTCTCATTTACCACTCAGGCAAGTGTAGGGAAACTTCCAAAATAAAAAAAAAAAGGAAAAGAAATTTCCAATTTCTTGTTGAAAGTGACAAGGGGGGACAAGCAAACCCATTTTGCTATCTCTCTAATAAAGTGCAAGAAAATAAAGTTACCTTCTGTATGCCACAGGCACAATTCCAGCTCTGTATTGTGCAATGCGCAAGAAGACAGGCTGAGAGAGATCAAAGTGGTGCATAGGAGGGTTGCACCACCCTCCTGCATTGTTAGGCAAGGCATTGTTTGGTGGGCAGAAATTAGTGGCAGTGACCAAAATGGAGCCTGGAAGACACCACCTGTGGTCATTCACACACCTAATCTCATAGCATGACCCACAACTAAGACCATTGTTGAACAAAGCTGTGCTCAGTGCAGCAGTGTTTGTTCCATACCCTTGGCTGTAGAGGTTCCCATATCCACAAGCCCCACCTGTACAAAAATTCATTACCATACAAAATTAGTCCAAACAAAGCCCCTACATTATATTAAATAATATAAAAAATGTGAACTTTATTTTGGTGCATACCCATTGTTCCTGATGCATCACTGCCTCCATAGAAGGTAGCATGTGCATTGATCCACCCACCACCATAGCCATAGGCAGACGAAAACCTTGTGAGAAAACCCACCAAGAGCAAACCAACAAGCGCCATTTTCCTAAAAATTCAAAAAAAAAAAAAAAGTCAGTCATTTCCTTCTAATGCTTCTAGCAAGCTGCAACATATAGCTAAAAAATGTGCACTTTGGCCTTGATATAATTGAAATGCAATATTGCAGAATATGCAATTACGTTGAATTTGAAGGCAGTAGTTAGTGAGAGACAAATGTGGAAGAGATAAGTGAAGGAAAAATGAAGGGGCGAGGCACTTAATTTATAGACCTTGGGAGAACCACAAGGAATAGGGAAGATAGGGCCGGTCATAACTTTAACTGACGCTTTTAAAACTGTTGGGACCAAAAACCGCTAAGGCCTAAGGGGTATAAGGGGTTGATTAAAACACAGTAAAAAAAGAGGGGAGATTGTGAAGGGACCCATATCATGTTTGAAGTTACAAAGGCTGTTTTGTAGCTGAAAGCGTGTGGTTTTGTAGCTTTCATTCGGGAAAATCTCCAAAATCCATGTGGGGCATAGTGGTTTTAACTTGGATGTTTTAGCGAATAGCATGCTGCCAATGTCACATACTCACATGCTTGCAAGCATCTTCCATTTGCCGCAAATACCCTTTTCCCTCCATCCCTCTCTTCCCTTTTAACTCTCTTTTTCTTTCCTCTTTTTGCATCCTCATAAATTTACATTTACATTTACTTTAAGTTCACATTATAATCATATTAATAACAAGAGTATTTTATATTTACAAATTAGGTTCAATATATTCTTAGTTCTTATAAAATTAACAAAATTCACTTTTATACTTTTTTATTTTAATTTTTAATTAATAAAAGTTTATCAAAATTATTTTATTTCATTACATAGACTGTATGTATATATTAGGTTCTTTAAAAAGCAAACCATGTCCAAAAATTACTTTAAATTAAATTTTTGTTTAACATGATGTCTCAAATAATATAACGTTGAGTGTGAAGTATAATGTATTAAAGTAATCAAAAGGAAAATCAACAAGTTCTAGCCTCTCCCCCACTTCCTCTACAATATTTTAATATTCCATGCTCTCTGCATATGATTATGATTCGTTCTCTTTACACACAAATGAAATAAGAATGAAACACGTGGATAATGTCATTATTCTATGTTCCAAAATTATAGAAATTAAAAGTAAAATTAGATATTGTTTGAAATACTAAAATATATTTAAGAAAAAATATTTAATTGAGAATCTCAATAATCGATCACTGCTTTACATTCGTAACATTGCTTTCACCTTTTCAATACACAATCCCTCCATATATACTTGCATGAATTTTTTTGCTCTTGGAGAGATTGTGGTACAAACTTTAGTTTTTGGGCTTCAGTCTCTTTCTTTTTACCCTAAAACAGAAATTACATTGGGACCCTTTGTTTTACTTCAAAAATTAAATTTTTACAGCCGTACGTAGGTTTGAATGTAAAATTTATAACTAATTTTTTAAGAAATTTAATACCTGTCTTAATCATATTTAACATTTTAAAATTAATTTTATTTAATTGTAAAATACATGTTTGTAATAATGTAACAGACACGAAAATCGAAGCACAGTTTCTCAACCGCCTACGTAAACGGCCAAAAGCTCTGGTCAATTTAATAATAGCAATAGTTTTTAGAATTATTTATTCTTTTTTTATATTTTTAAATTAATGAAAAATTATATAAATGAGTATTTTTAGTAAAAAAATTTTATTACTTAAACAGAATTAACATTTTGCTTTACTATAATTAGTAAAGAAACATTTTCTGATAAACCGAATTAACTTCCCGTTTTCACGGCCATAAACAAAGTATCTAAATTTTATTAAAAATAAATATTTATTATTTTAAAAATTATAACATTTAATATTATTTATGCATTAAATAATGTGATATGTTATTTATTTTTAATAAAAAAATTCATACGTATATTTTCATAAGATGTCTTTAGACACATTATAATAATTTATTTAATAAAATAGAGATGAACGCTCTACTTAGTTTGATCCCAATTATTAATTGAAGAAGATGATGCAGACACGAAACAATTTCACCAATAAATGGAGTTGCTTCTGCATAGACGTTATTTAATAAATAATAAATTAGAATGAAAATCCGATTAGTAACTAAGTTTGTGGGCCGTTACAGTTGAAAGGAAGCAGCATTCCTGAAATTTAACCGTACAGAAGCTATAAAGAACATAGGGTCACAGCTACAAGCCCTACCTCTGTGTTGTTGTGGGTCTCCCCTACTCTCATGGACGGTCGCTATGCAGCTCAACGTGTCTTGTTACTGTTGTCACCCTATTCCAAAGTACACACCAGGCAAAGTTAAAGCGACCCCGCACATGGGGGAAGAACCCAAGAACACTCATTTTGTTTACATTTTTTTTATTTCTTCTTAATAAACTACACTTTTTCGAATAATCCTTTTTTTAAGGAAATTAATTTTTATTATTATTTTGTGGGTGAAATACTAACTTTAACGTTATCGAAATACTTTTTACAGAAAACTCCCATCATTTTTCAACTTTATATTCACCAATGTAGACTTAATGGAACGACACTAGATTAATTTGCATTGTCAATGTCAAAGAAAAATTATACTTTCAATTAATTAGAACATACAATATGATAATAATTCTTATTTATATAACAATTTATGTTTAAAAATTCAAACATAACAAGTGAATTAAGTATTTTTTTTGTTTAGGGTTAAAGTATAATCAAATTAGTTTTTATTGATATCAGCCTTTTAAATTTAATTAAAAATATTATATTTTTATTTTTTGATACCATAAAATATTTAATTTTTAAATAAAAATTTTGCACCGTGATCTCATATCTTCTTTATAATAATAAAACGAACGAGATCGATCTAAACATTTGTTAATATATATATATCTGCATTTATCACTCCCTCCCACTATCACCAACCCCTTCTGAATAAAAAAAATTCTTAACTTATGCTCCCATTTGTTATTGTAAATTTTTCTTAGTGGTCTTTCGACCCAGCTGGGTTTTGATTATCTGTCAAGCAAATCATTTATGGTGATTACTGAGTGTACAAATCATGAATCTTCGTAGATAAGATCTGCATGGAAGACGATAAAAACTGATTTAAGATTTTACGAGGAAATGATCTTAAACCGCGATTCTCGGCATTTGTGTTTCTTAATCACTTTAATGAACTATGACTTATTATTAAATACGCCTACAAAACTACAACTGAAACAGGTGCGCAATAAAAAAGAACGAAATCTTCTCGTACGGTTCGTTTGTTTTCTATCACCATCACTCAACTTCTCTATCTTTTTTTTCAGAAAATGTTTCTGATGCTTTGCTAACTAACCATTTTGTTTAATCTCTTAAGTTAGAATGCATATATTTATAAAATGATAAAGAAAAAAAAAGGATCATGACGTCAAATTAATTAGTAGCGATTGTCTATATCAGGCTTGGTGGTTCAGTGGAGGCTATTGTCAAAATTGTTTGTGGAAAATTGGTAGGTCAAAATAGGTTATTGTGTTTTTATTCTTGTTCGATCTTACGAATTAGGCCATCATGGCTTAGCACAAGTGCTGGATAGGCATGGGCTTGAGTGACCTAATTTGGAGTTTGGCTACTCACAACCCAACCCGTTTAATGCCATTCCTCTCTTGGCAACTTGCGCTCCCGGCATAACAAAAATATCAAATTAAATAAGCTACACAAAATTGTATTATATTTTATTTTTAAAAATAAAAATCAAACATGTTTTAAGAATGGCAATTTTTTTGCGGTGAGAGAATATTTTACATTCTCAAAGATTGACATATTTGTCATAAACAATTTTAAGGATGAATTTAACATTTACTCATTTTGATCAAAATAAATCAGTGGGTTTTCTCCTGAGCTGCAGAATTGATAATGAATAAAAATGGCAAGTTAAAAACAGGGGAAAAATCAATGTTTCAGACAAAGTAATTAAAACCCATGCTAGTCTTTTCCCAGTAATATATAGATGCACATGAGTGTAGTTTGTTTTTACCAGTGCTTAACTTGAATCAAGGTATGTGCCATTTGCCTATTGAAAGCGATTTGTGAATCCTTCAACGACTTGCCAAGGTAGCAGCGGCACATGCAGTCTTTTGGCTTTTTCAAGGCTTGTTCAAAATCATTTTGGATTCTAACATGATTTTTCTTTCGAAATTTTGTTCTGGGACAGATTCCCCAAGGAGTCACAGTAACACTCAGAAGGAAAGAAACATAGCAAACAGACGAAAGAATTCAAAAATCAAATCAGATATGTTGTCAGATAGAAGAGAAATTACAGGGACTTATTAATTATATCCTAGTGATGGGTAATTCTCTCTATGTTGTCCGTTTCCTGAAGTTGAACCCTCACATAAATGCAGGGGCCATTTTCCTCATCTAACTCTTTTCGTTTGTTCAAATGTCACCGTATGGGAATAGAGGAGATCGAGAAATTCTTACGTGTAACAATATCTTTTATTGTTAATTATTATGTATCATCAAATATCTGTTACTTTTTTTTTATTATCTTTTGTTGTTTTTTTTAATAAGAAGGTACTTTTTTTTTTAATCTCGTTCTTGTTCTATCAAATAAGACAAGAGGTATGTTAATCATGTCATAATATTTTGATTTTTTTAATAAAAATATATAATAAAATATAATCCTATTATTTTTCCTTAATTCTTTAATAATGTTTTAATTCACATGTAAATGAAATACCAAACCTAATTTGAATGAATGTGGTTTGAGTTTAACATTCCATCGAACTATGCCACAAAAGTCCATTTATTGTTTGGTCAAAATAAAAATTCAAGTTTGATTTGAACTTGTATTTTATGCTTAAATGACTCAAGTAACTCGAATTAATAAAAAAATTAAATAATTCGAGTCATAAAAATTTAAGATTAATTTGAATAAAGAATTAAAAATCGAAATACTATATTTAACCAATTTAATCGGATTGGCGGAATTGAATCATTTCATTTTTAAAGATAGTATGCATTAGGATAATTATGGTAACAGAATTTATGAATTATAGATTAATTAAGTGTTAATTATGCGTTGCGCTCTTAATTTAACATATAATAAGATAAATCTCTCTCTCTCTCTTTTGGCACTTGTATTTCAAATCAATATTTTTTTTAATAAAATTAAGAAATCTTTTTCACGATAGTGATAATTTTTTAATAGATTCTTTTTCCAAAAACAAAGTGGCGAGTGGTAAGAGGTTGACATTTTGACTTTAGTTTTTAAA